CCTGGAGCATATTATTTTTGCTCCAGTTGCAAAGTATGATTTACTATCCTTTGGTCAGCAGTTTAGGGTTAAATTTGACATTCTTTTTTTTTTTTCTTTTTGGCACGATCCTGGCTCGCCACATCCCCTCGCCTCCTGGGTTCAAGCAATTCTCCCTGCCTAGCCTCCAAGTAGCTGGGCTTACAGCAAGCTCGGCTCAATGCAACCTCCACCTCCTGGGTTCAAGCGATTCTCCTGCCTCAGCCTCCCGAGTAGCTGGGATTATAGGCGGGTGCCACCATGCCTAGCTAATTTTTTATGTATTTGTAGTAGAGACGGAGTTTCACCGTATTGGCCAGGATGGTCTCGATATCTTGACCTTGTGATCCGCCCACCTTGGCCTCCCAAAGTGCTGGGATTACAGGCGTGAGCCACTGTGCCCGGCCAATTTTTGCAATTTTAGTAGAGACGGGGTTTCACCATGTTGGCCAGGCTGGTCTCCAACTCCTGACCTCAGGTGATCTGCCCATCTTGGCCTCCCAAAGTGCGGGGATTATAGAGCCATGAACCACTGTGCCTGACAACATTCTCTTTTTTTAAAAAAATAACTTTTATTTCTAGCCTCAATCATTTACACTTTGTGTGAGAAAGAATAAAGTGGAATTGTTATTGCAGTGATGTTGTGCAAATGTGAAAAATAGTACTTTCCCCCAAAAAGCAAACCTCGAAACCCCACAAACTCAAGTGTACTTGAGTACTTAATTTTCAAATACTAGTTAACTATAACCAACTTTTCCACCACACTGTTGTGAATATTTGTTGCTAGCTGTTACGGGTATAAGTGATCAAGGCAACAACTGATGCATTACCTAATGCTTGACTAAATATAGCCAGCCCTTGAGTAGGTAGACTATTTGGTTGTGGCTTTCGTTGTTTAAGTCTGTGGAGTCCCTCTTTGGTTTCTCTAACTTTTGCAGTCATTAGGGCAGAGTATATTTATTTACATTTCTCCGAGCAAAGTCTTGCTCTTTTGCCCAGGCTGGAGTACGGTGGTGCAATCTCGGCTCCCTGCAACCTCCACCTCCCAGGTTCAAGCAATTGTCCTGCCTCAGCCTCCTGAGTAGCTGGGATTAGAGGTGCCCGCCACCATGCCTGGCTAATTTTTGTATTTTTAGTAGAGATAGGATTTTGCCATGTTGGCCAGGCTGGTTTTGAACTTTTGACCTCAAGTGATCCATCCCAAGTGAGCCTCCCAAAGTGCTGGGGTTACAGGTGTGAGCCACCATGCCTGGCCTAAATTTACTTTTTAATAGA